ACTACGACATGTAGTACGCATGCCTATTCGAGATATGAATTATTTGTCACTTTTATAATATAAGATGAAAATGTTCTAGAGTGTGTATTATATAATTTCCATACCTAGCGCAAGCCGGAAAGATGTTGTCTGCCGCGGCTGGGTCTTGAACTCGCGACCTTCGAATTACTAGATCGACGCTCTACCAACTGAGCTACCAACCTCGTACCCAGGGCCTTTGCGCGGTTCAGAGTCTCTGGTACGGGAAGCAAAGGCCCTGGTAAACACTGGTCACGTGTGTCCAAAAATATTGGACATTTTTGTAACCTGGCCTTATTTAGGTCATGTTATCCCGGGGGGGATGAACAACTGAACATTGCAATGCACGAACTATACACGTTTCAAATACAAATGATTTTGCCTTTGATTTTTAAAATATGAATGTATAGCAATTGTTTGAAAATTCATATTTTAAAACAACAGACAGCAGATTTTAGGCTTGTTTTTATTTTGATGGAAATTATAAACTTTGAAGTCACATGGATTTTGAATTATGCTATAAAGAATGCAGTATATTCGAGGTAAACGATTTTATGATGCATATATAAAATTATATTCTCATACTTTTAATATTTATCAGTTTATATATCCTAAATTCCAGCAGATTTTTTTCTGTTTGTATAATTAGTTTTCTTCGTTTAATTACTCCTCCATCTTTCGCTTTTGAATATAAACCCTCCTTCATGCCTGATATATTTTTTGTTTATCTCCATCGTTCACTTAGTTTACTAAAATCAAAATTTTCTGTTCCAGCTTGCTCAGAAAATATTCAATCTTTCATAACTGGAGTTCTCCAAAGACATGTAAAATAGTACCCTCAGTAAAATACTTATTTAACTGGCTGACCATTACAGTAGTCAAAAGTTAACAAATGAATACATGCAAAAATTACAAATTAACTGCCCTCATACAGTCATACTAATCCATTGGTCTCTGACTCATCCAATAAATACTTAACAGAACAGTACGATAATAACAGAAAAGTGTGAAAATGCCAACGTTACCTAACTTTGTGTGACAAGAAAGTTAGATTACATTAATTTTACAGTCAGGTATTCTTTTCTTTATCGCCTCAATACTCTGGTTGATGATTCCAATGGCCCCCATAAAATTCCAATGGCCCCCATAAATTTCCAATGGCCCCCATAAATTTTACTGGAGAAAATGTTTCCCCACTTCTTGCCATTAAATCTCCATAGCCCCCAATTTTACCCATCCAATTAGGGAGAGTCTTGTGTGGTCACACTATAGTAATGGGAATATGGGATAATCAAATATGGCATACTTTGTTATTTTTTTCTGTCCAACACCAGACAATTTTACTTGTCAAGTGTAAGGTTAAGTGAGTAATAAAAAGTGGCTGGATATTCTAACTTTTGCTCCATATAATTGGACTTTGGTTGTGAGCAAAATGTAAAAAGACAATTACCAGTAATACTGGCCTTACTACATTCCTATTATTTACCTTGCAACCTTGAGCAGTTGTGCTGTTACAGCAGAATGCGGTTTCAAATGACAGTTATTTTATGACAATTATGATATTCCAGTGTGCCAGTAAGACATTTGACGTTTGTTTCTCTTTTAGTATTATATCGAAAAGGTGATTGCAGGGTATTCAGATCCTGGAGTGATGTGAAATGGCCATGACCTTGGGCAATTTATAAGTAATATATGAGTGGTGTAAAATAGGAAATTTTTTATTCATTCTGATTGACTAATAAAATTAGAATGGTGAGAATGATGATGATGGTAGTGAAATACAAGTTGTGATGATATTGGTGATGCACAAGTTGTAATGATACTGCTGATAATGATCAAAAATATATTGTATTTGTAATGAGACATAAATAATAGAGATTGGCAGTAATGAATGTGTATGACTTGATCAATTGTGCTGGTGAGAAGGCAATATATTGTCACCTAGATGAATTAAGTCCCATGCCATTTTGTGTTCAAAACTAACTGTTCTCATCAGCTCCAAGCATAACTGGGAAAGCTGGTTTCAATCCCGTTAGCTGATCTTGAAACTATGTGCACACATATAAATATTTATTTTTCCCCCTCATGAATTATATTGTTTGCCCAAAATATCGGT